AATAATCTGCTAACTATAACGATACAGTCTAGGTGATTGTTTTTAACCCCTTAACGATCAATTAATTTTTATGAAAACGATCATAAAAGTGCCTATTTTTCTTGGCTTTTGTATATGTATTATGTATTTGATTAATGCTACAACTAGTTTAAAATAAATTAATCTAAAATTACCTTAACAATATCCTGTTACTGCCATCAGGTGTGTAAAATGAGAAATAAATTTTTTTCTGGGCAAAAGAAATTAATTAGTTTTATTCTTATTGGTTACTACTGAGCACTCCAGCCCGTCAATATCACGGGAGCGAGAAATAGCGGGCAAAAACTCACCCCGTCATTTTCACGGGAGCGAGAAAGAAGGGGTTAAAAAAAATATTATTAAGCAGGTTATGTGGATCTAGTAGCTTCCCATAGTCAATTTTTTTTCAACTTATCCAAAAGCTATCAAATTGTATTAAAAAAATTTTTTATCGTTTTTTTAAATTCAAACACAAGATATAGACATGTCAATTCAGAGAGGTAAGCCAGGAATAAATATCATGCAAATAAATTGCTTACATAATAAATAAAAAATAAAATTATTAAAACTGCATTTTCTGAAAATAATAATTTATAATTTTGTAAAGATCTTTTGAAATGAAATATTGTAACAAACCTTGCGACTCTCAGCGGAGCCGGTGGCTCTGTGATAAAGCATCGGACTACGAAGCCAAAGGTAGGGTGATTTTGTGATTTTAATGTGATTTTTGTGATCCTAAATGTGATTTTTGTTGAAGAATACTTCATTCTTTCGTTAAAGTTTAGGTTATTAATTATGCAATTTCTAGAATTTTTGGATTATAGAATGTTCTATTCGAGAAAGTTCAGCAATTGTATTTAAGCACATTCATAACAGTTAAATAAAGCCCCAAGTTGAGATTATCATTCGCGAGATTATCATACATTAAACAATGTTTTTCCTATAAGTTTTCTTCTACAATATACTCCGAACAACATGACCAGATACAATTTTCGATACTTTCATGCTCAGCTTGAACAGTTGGTCACTAAATCTTTAATTTAGGAAAAAACTACAATTTGAATAATGCATTTGTTTTACTATAGTTATTATTGAATATAATTTAACGACACTTTAACTAAATTAAAGTACATGGAGAGAAAACCCCAGAAACTTCAAAAGGGTTCCACTGGGGATATTTTAAGTCAGCACTGTGATTGGTGCGATCTAAGTACAGAATTCATATCAACCAGCCATCGCTGGAATTTGAACCTGCGTCACCTCATTAGGAGGAAAACGCTCTATCCCCTGAGCCACTACAGCTCTTATTATGTAATTCTAAATTCTCTTACTTTACTTAAGTAAAACTGCAACTCCAAGTTTGTACATTAATCCCAGAAGCTACCAGTACACACGCCACCTAAACTTGCTATAAATACTATTTTTAATTCCTGTTCAAATACAAATTTTGTAAGACAATTTGTAGTTGCTGCTGTTTCTAATGCCACTTGCCAATACCAACAGGTCTTCTTGGTGAAACCAAGTGGATTTAAGGCAGATGGTGTGTTTCTCGTTTTTCAGTGGCGCCTTTTATGTTTAATAATATGACTTAAACTCCACACACGTCTCAGCCCGCTTATAGGGTGAACCTATTCATGGATTTATTTATTCATCCACAGATCTCAATTTTGACCTGAACTAGAAAACGACCAGTCCTCAATTCAGTACTCTCAGAGTTATTGGTTTGTTATAGAAACATGGAGGACTTTGTAACTCGACAAATTTACGTGCGTCATTCACCATTTACAACCTTATTACCTTTGACCGGCGGGGATCGAAGTCACGATATCTCGGAAATGGACCCAACGCGCTACCAACCAGGCTATCCCGGTCTAATTTGTAGTTCAAAATGCATTTATTTTGCGAAATATTGGGAAAACTTTACTGTTTCTCAAATATGTATACTTCATTTTAATAAATTATATCTAAACTTTTGCGGAAAAAATGCATCATTTTTTTATTAATATTATAAACCATACGAATTTTTGAGTATAAATTTCCTTTTTCTCATATCGAGTAAATTGCGTTTATAAAGCGAGGGAAGCAAAGAAAATATAAAATTTCACTCAAGTCTTTCATAATGGAATGTTTGCAAACTTTGAAGCACTTTCTATTTTACGCAAGGAAAAAGAAAGCTCAATTTTTTTTTCTAAATCGTTTAATAAAATTGGCATTCTCCATTTTTTTAGAAAAAATATACAGTGAGAGTAGTTTTTTTTCTTTTCATTTTTTTAGAATACAAGCAAAGTAAATGAGCCTAAGTTATTTACTAAGTCTTATACTCGTTTATTACAAAACTTGCAACACATATTTTATGGAGTTCCGAATTTCGTACAAAATATTACACTAAGAAAATTGTTTACATTTACAAGCGCAAATTTATATTCTTTCCAATGCATACTAAATTGCTTCTTCACAATTTTGAACAAAGAATATACATTAAGGAAAATATAATTTATCCTTTATGTTAACAATGTGGGCAAGAGTTCATTATTTGAAGAAAAAAAAAATTTGCATTTAGAAAAGAATTAAATGAATTTAATATTATTTCTACACATAAATTTTTTTAATGCGCCTTAATACAAACACTCAGAATAAATTTTGTTTAGTTTAAAATAATTTGTTTTCTCTAGCAAGTGGTTTTGCGAATCGCGCTTTTTATTTCTAAATTTTAACCACTTTTTAAAATTAAAAATGGTATTTCACACGAATAAACTTATCTAGAACATACATTGTTTTTCGACATATGAAATTCTCAAATATAAATTAACATGTCTTACTTATATTTATTATAATTCTCCAGAAGTTGCATTTTTTAAAATTCATATTTAGTGTAATTTATTTTTGGTTGCGTTATGAGGATATGTGCACAAAAATTAACCGTTTTAATCTAATAGCAAATACATTTCTCATTCAAATTTTCACTAGTCCCTCCATTATCAATATTTTTTATAACATCAAGAAGACATGAAGAAATTAAGCTCAATCCTAATATATATTATGTGGGAAATTAGGCGACATTGGCGATGTTTGGGAAGGCGATAAAGTTTGGAATCTGTCGTAGATTCGATTGGACATTTATTGCTTTAAATTGTTTTGCTTTAGTTTTGCTCTATTTCTTTTCCACTTCCTGGTGTACACTTGCCCGGTATACCTTTTACTAATGCTTTAAGTTAAAAGCCACTGCCCGGTATGGTATGCCAACAGTTTGGCGACAAACGTCACTACATCATTTTGGCGTTGGTATATAAATTAACGTATGCTAGGATTTTACCAAAAATTAAACAAACATATAAAAATTTATCATGTTATATCAACAAATATGCATGATGAAGTCTGCATTCTTGATCAATATAGGTACAGCTACATATATTGCAATATTAATTGAGACAATTCTTAACCGATTGTCCAATAAAGTTTAACTTAATTACTCTAATAGATTTTCCAAGTCTTAAAATTTATTTTTATAGGTATCAATTATTATTTAAATTTTTAAACTTGCGCAATTTACAGTTATTTAAGGAATTTAGTAACCAATTCAAATTTCGAAAACACGAGAATAGCGTAAAAATAAATGTATATATTTTGATTTATTATTCAATTTTATAAGACTTCGAAATTCGAAATTCACGTCTGTTTTCTGTTGTATTCTACCATCTAAGCATATCGAATGCCGAAGTTTCTAAATGAATTTTTCAGAAAAATTTATTTTAATAATAAATTTGCCTTTCAGTATCACTACGCAATCCCTTTTATACCCCTATTCTCAAGTTTAAGTTTAAATTTCCATAAAAGATTTTTCAACCGGTAACACTAGTAGACTTTACATTCAGCCACAAAACATAATTTGTTTCAATAAATACAATATTACTTTCACCCACATGCAATACTTAAACTATAGAACTTGTCAAAATGCATACATATATTTATATAATCTACTTCTGATAGTTATAATAATATTTGCTAATACTTTTGTATTGCAAGTCTGCCATCATCATCAAAACTTTAAGCGACTCGAAGTAAAATATTATTTTCAAATGATATATAGAGCTTCAATACTTTACGAATAAGTTATTCTTTATTTCATTTCGATCAACAATAAAATGAGATTGTATAACTTCAACAAATTTATTCAATGCAACTCATCAAACTGAATATATAAAATACAAAGCAACGCATACATGCATTTATTTTCAACCAAATCTAAATATATATCCAAATCTTAAGACATAATTCGTACAGTCATAAAAAATATTGAAATATATTGCTTAGTAAGTAACATGAAATTGAATTTTTGGGATTCATGAATATTGGATTTTAACATTTTGACTTGTTATTATTGTATTAGTTATGTAACTAGTACATGTATTAGTTATTTTCTTTACATTAGTTATTCGCATAAAATAATTATAATTTTAATGTTTAAAATATGTTTCATAGACAAACGTAAATGTAATTTTTATTTGTAAAATTTGATCTTGCTTTATTTAAAGATGTAAAATTTGCTATCATTTTCATGATTATGTCGTACATTCTACGTACATTTATTTTTATTTTTAAATACAAAGCTTATGTTGTTTCAAATAAAATGTTTTGAATAAATTTTAAAAAAATTTTCGAATAAATTAAAAAAACCTAATTTTGGTATAATTTCACAATGTTATAAAATTTGAAATTTTTGAATTATTCTCTTATTCTGCATTTATTAATTTATATTTTCAACCATTAAACATTTGAAAAGATTTATTATAATTATTATTTATTTATTTATTTCTCAGTGGTGATAAACAATCAACAATAAGCAGTTAATTCAAGAAATCAGTTAATAACATTACATTAATCTGCGCTTTAATTTTTGAATTTTTGAATTCCTAACAAATTCCAAAGGAATAATATGTCTACGTTTTTCATGAATGTACAATTATATTTTTATAAATACATACCAAGTAAAGCTGATGCACATCTGTACTTAATCTTAGGAGCTCACGTTATTTTGCTGATAAAAAATGTGCTTAAATCTTAGATTTGTTTAAGACTTCTAAATAAAATTTGCTATAAATAATAAGTAAAATCACAATATCCGGTGTTTGGAGAAATAGTTTAATGAAGTTTCGTGTAAACGTTAGAATAGGCATGATAGGAATGTGAGCATAAGTATAACATAATCTTTAAGTGGTTGTAATACACACGGATTGCAGAGCATAACACTCAAACCAAAGACATAAAACTATGGTTAAAGAGCCAAACTAAAAAAAAGTTAATCCAGGGAATGGCCCTCACTTACAACAGGATTTCATATCGGAAATAAGTCTCGTAGTGGACTGATCGTTAAGATACGGTTCCCAGCAGATCACTGAAGTCAAGCATCACTGGCTGCTGCCAGTGTGCTGGTGGGTGACCACTTGGCTCAGTCTGCGTGGGGACCGAGGGTGTGCGGTATTGGTAATCGTTAAACTGTTCAACCGTAAAGTGCTCGATTTCACGTGAAAGTCGTCGAGCTAACAAAGTGGGGTGCTCTCCCCTAGCGCATTTTTGCAGCTCTAGTGCGACGTAAATGAACTACAACAAGGTATCGGAAATAAGATAATTTAGAAGCAATAGTTTCCACTTGCTTCATAACGTTCTTTTCTGATCCTAGATTATTTTAGGAAGAGGGTTGCAAGTTAAAATTGTCCTCTTCGTGTACGTCAAACATCCTGGGCTGGAGACTTATTCAGCCAATACTTATTTCCTTTTAAACTTCTAGAATAGACCACCACTTAGTATCCATCTTGTCAATTATTTTCAAGAAAATGATAATGATTGATAGGTCAGTTACATTTCCAGACTTCACCCTTAGAGAGCATGTCCGAAACGATCTGCGGAGGGCAATCAATACTGCCAATCCCTTTTCAAAAATCCGTGTCATGCTAAGAATCACTGTTTGTAAGTACACAATACTGCACGACAGTACATCAAGTAATATACACAATACTGCAAGTAAAACAATAATATAATATTGTGCCTTCCATTGTTACAGGGGTGTTGTCCTTCAGCGGGTTTCAATATCTTTAGGTTGCTTTTCTCATTTTTGTGTTATTTGTTTTGCAATTCGACAAGAGACAATCCATTCTTTGCATTAAGCATACGAGCCAGTATACGTATCTAAACCAAATTTATATATATACTGCTACATATCCATTGTTACACTTTGATTCGAACCCGTTACCTCGAATTGGAATAGTGTTTTAGCGGAAATGAACTGCTGCAAAAATATTTTTTTAAAAAAACATTACTATTCCAAGAATTTATTTATTTATTTATTATTGCACAGTCACATTCAGACTTGTGTGCTAATTACGAAGTATCATTCATTATTAGCTTTTGTTAAGTTGAAGAACATATTGCTAAAATTAGAGATAGACATTATGTCCCGCAGTGGACTGATCGTTAAGACACGGTTCCCAGCAGATCACTGAAGTCAAGCATCACTGGCTGCGGTCAGTGTGCGGGTGGGTGACCACTTGGATCAGTCTGCGTAGAGACAGAGGGTGTGCGGTATTGGTCCTCGTTAAACTGTGCTACCGTAAAGTAATCGACTTCGCGCGCAGGTCGTCGGGCTACCGAAGCGGGGGTGCCATTCCCTCCGCAGAGGATCAAAATTGTGATGACATGTTTTCGGATCATGCTCCGGGATGCTTCCCAGACCATCGCCAATAGCCCATTGTGCAGCTCTAGTGCGACGTAAATTAACTACAACAACAATAGTAACGTAAAGGTAAAGGATTTGAATCACACCGTGTCCAAAAATGTATGCTTGCGCTGTCTTTCTCTGTCTTGGGTTATCCGTATTTTGATTTGAAAAGGACATATAAGCTGAGCTTTGTAATGTGCACTCAAGCTTGCGTATGTATTGTGCGGCTTTGAGGAGAACTCCTCCAGACTAAAAATCTGGAGCTGTCTACTGCTGTAGTAATGAGCCAGAGCACATTTCTAATAAGGGTGCAATCGAGAAACGAAGGCGTCAATTGGTTGACCACGCGGATCCATGCCAAGATCAAGAAAAAACTATATTCACCCCACATCCCTATTAAAAGTGACTTTTCCTCGTAATCATGGTCCCAGCCAAGACGCAAGACTGATGTCTGGAAGAGTTCTCCTGTAAAGCTGCACTATATGCGTAAACATAAATAAACAAATATATATAAATAGATATGGTATGTATAGTGTGGAGAACGCCTCCAGACTTCAGTTAAACATAAGAAAAGTTATCTAAGATTGAAAATTATATCAACAATATTCGTCTTTCAATAATTTACTTTTTATAGAAAATTATTATTTGTTGTTACAAAATATTCCGGGAACGCAAGTTTCCCATACAAAATATTTTTCTTTCAACAAGCAATGATAAAACTTCAAATGAAAAGGAATTTCATGAATTCCATTCTTCTCCAAAAAAAAAAATTTTAAAAATATTTTTGTAAATTATTTTTGCCTTACTTAAGTTTAATATTTCCGAGAAAAATTTATTAATCTGATTTTTTTTCCTATTTTCTCCTTCTGTTAACTGAAATAAATAACTCTTCTTAGAAAAGGGAGAATATTTTGGGCATTGATATTAGCTAAGTTTTCTCTTTTAAATTTTGTAGGCGACTTCTCTATTATATAACATATTATATACTGCTATTCTTAGATGTAATACTATTATTACATTTATCAGTATTACATACCTTTATTACATAATACCTATTTAACTTTAACAAAAAAACTTAGCAAGAAATTGCCTTTTGTTTAACAATTTTTATCAGAAGCAATAATGTCTAAAAAATGACGTAGTTTATGCATTTCATAATAATTCATTAGCAATGAAATAAAAATATCCATAATTAATTACGTTAGTATATAATATAATAATTCTTTTAAATTCAATTTTTATATAAGAATCTCCAGATTTACAGACCTTCTAGAAAAATACTTTTTACCAAATCTGCGATATTAGAATTGGATCATAATTAATAAATCCAATTAATTAATGATAAATATTAAAATATTTATGTTTACTATTGATAAATGTATGATAAATATTAATAAATTAATGTTTAGTATTAATAAATTAATGATAAATATTAATAAATTAACGAAAGCATCACAATAAGCAAGTTATATTTCATTTAGTCATAAAGAAAACGTCAACAAAACGTTTTCTATGAATAATTTAGTTTAAAGCTACCGATGGCGTATTTTTCGCATACAAGTTTTTTTTTCAATATTAAACGTCATGAACTTGAAGAAAATATTTGTTGAATTTGTTTGAGAAAATATAAAGGGCATTCTACTTTAATTTTAATCATTATTTGTAAAACTAAAAAAAATAACTATTCGTTTTTTTTTCTTAAGTACATGATATTTAATATTGTACAAATTCTCTGTTTAATCCTTTCGCATAATCGAAGTAATAGAATTCTACGGTTTTCCTTATAAATTATAAAATGGGAAACAAGATTCAAGATCATAAGTTCTTCTCAAGAGATTCAGCTTTTTGTAAAATATAACGAACAATCTTTTTCTATTTTTATCATATTTTTTTATACCAAAAAAGCTTCTGCATCCGAAGAAACTGAACAGGTAAGATATTATATAATTATAAAACTTCATTTGCTTCTAAATATACGGATGGGAAATAACAACCGACATGCTTAATGTTCTTAAAATTGGGCGCCCATTTTCAACTAGCTGGTCGTTAAAATGGGGACTCTTTTTAAGAGTTGAAATATAATGACTGTTATTTCCAATCTGTATATTTTTGAAGCGAATGAAGTTTTCTAACCAAACAAAACAAGTTTTGTTTAGTGCCTGTAACAGGACAAGAAGGCTTCGTTCTATATTGAATACACAATATTAAATAATGTACAAATTATATTTTGAATAATGCCATTAAACAGAAGTGGCAAAATCATATGGTTTACTTAACACACAACAATAAAAAAGATGATTTAAAAATGGGGAAATTGTAACAATTAAATAAAATTACCTTTCAGAAAAAAATATAACAAGTAACTTTTTTTCGATTTTAATTTATAAGTTAGCCGACCAGATGACCGAGTGGTTAGCGTGTCCTTAGCCATTGGCCGCGGGTTCGAATCCTGCTCAGGGCATGGATATTTATTTCTCTCTCTGTGTTCTATGTCCTTTCTCCTTTGTGTGTGAATGTGACCCGCCCTATAAACGGGTTAGTGGTTGTGTGACATGGGCGACGCTGCTCCACCGCCGTAGCTTCGCCACAGTTGCCCACGGGGTGACGAGAAGAGAGTGGCAGTTCTGGCATTTTCTGTGGCTAATGGGACAAACCCCAAGTGCCCACCATTAAGAAAAAAATTATAAGTAAAAAAAATCAAATCTAGATTTAATTTAGTGGGTGAAATAGTGAAAGAAAGTTTAATTCAAATTCAATACACATGGAGAAAAACAAAAGTGAGAGATTTCTATGGTTTGCTTTTTAAATTACAGTTAAATAACATTATTTAAAACTTATATAATAGTATGAGTATATANGAAATAAAACGTTTTAAATAAACGTTTTTTTGCTCTAAACCTTGTGGCATTTTAACGTTATTTTCACGTAATTTATACTTATCTCTGCTGCATGGGTATAATAGTAAATAATGTGACATGTTCAACTTCTGAAAAATTAACTTTCCAGGATTAATATAAGTAGTAGTTAACTAAAGCAAGTTTTATTTAAAGCTGGTAGGACAAGTAAAATTCAAAAGTTATATAAACGCAAACTTTGGCAAAAATCTTGACTAAAAGATCGCAAAATAATCAATACTTTATTCCAGCATTCAAAACGGAAAACAAGCATTTAAATCTTCAAATCCGTTTACAAATATTTATGAAAAATATATTCTTAGCAGGCTTCTTAGATTACATTACGTATTGTGTTGGTTACTTCAAGTTTTGACAATTAATTAATATCATAAAAAATCTTCACCTGTTTCTGATGCGTGAAGTTAACTACGACGCAATATTTAATCTGAAATTTATTTCTTAAAATTGAACAAATCCTATTAAAATCTGCAGTAAAGTTATTGACGTAAAACCTTGTCAGTCAAGAAAATGACCTTTTAAAGGAAGTTATTATCTTGGAAAGACATTTTAATTAAATCATTGCATCATGTCGTAGTTATCGCGGCTGCAGTTAATTAAATGTATTCTTAGTTCTGATGCTAAATGAAATATTTGTTTTACCGCGAGCAAGAAAGTTGTGATTTTTAAACAGGTGTTACTGAAGATGATAACAC